GAGCTGGGGCCCAGAGAGCTCAGGCGATTGGCCGCCAAGGCCACACAGCGCTCACCACCTTTTGTTAGGGTTAGAGGCCCATCCCCTAAATAGGGTTTCCCCAGAGGGTGAGGGGCCCACTGTGATTTTCGGGGGTGGGTGGGGGTTGTTGATGGAGGGCCCACCCTTTCCAGCTGGCGTGCAGTTTCACGGGGAGAAAGCCTCTCCAGTGCTAAGGGGTCTCTAACGCCTCTAATGTTTACTAATCGCCCTTTTGAACCCAAGAGAGTGTCAGCGTCTGGTTTAAACCTCCTAACAAATACGATTTTCGCCACCTCTCTAATAAACCACAGTCCTTTTTTTTTTTTTTAGATTTTATTTATTCAGAGACAGAGAGAATGAGAGAGAGGCAGAGACACAGGCAGAGGGAGAAGCAGGCTCCATGCAGGGAGCCCGATGTGGGACTCGATCCCGGGTCTCTAGGATCACCCCCTGGGCCAAAGGCAGACGCTCAACCACTGAGCCACCCAGGGATTCCCTCCACACACACTTTTAAAAAAATTTTATTTATTCACGAGAGACACAGAGAGAGAGGCAGAGACACAGGCAGAGGGAGAAGCAGGCTCCATGCCGGGAGCCTAGTGTGGGACTCGATCCCAGGACCCTGGGATCATGACCTGAGCTGAAGGCAGACGCTCAACTGCTGAGCCCCCCAGGCGTCCCCAAACCGCATTCCTTTTTAAGGCAGCAATGTAGATTTGCTGTTAAAATAAATTTATTTAAGTTTGTTTTGTTTTTAAAGAACTGACTGAGGAGCACCTGGGTGGCTCACTCGGTTGAGCATCCAGCTCTTGATTTCGGCTCAGGTCATGATCTCGGGGTCGTGAGCTCGAGGCCCTCATCAGGCTCCACGCTCAGCGCAGAGTCTGCTTTAAATTCTTTCTCTCCCTCTCCCTCTGTCCTGCCCCCACTCACAGGTGAGGTCTCTGTCTCTCTCTCTCTCAAATACAATCTTTAAAAAAAAGCTGATTGATAATAAGGGAAAAATGTCATGTAAATAGTACCAATGCACCTCACCAGCACCAAGGTGGTTACTACTTTAAAAAAAAAAAAGGAGGGATCCCTGGGTGGCGCAGCGGTTTGGCGCCTGCCTTTGGCCCAGGGCGCGATCCTGGAGACCCAGGATCGAATCCCACATCGGGCTCCCGGTGCATGGAGCCTGCTTCTCCTCTGCTTGCTCTGCCTCTCTCTCTCTGTGACTATCATAAATAAATAAAAATTAAAAAAGAATTAAAATCTGCTTTAAAAAAAAAGGAAAGAAAAAAAAGAAAAAAAAAAGGAAAGGACAGAATGGCAGGTGTCGGCGAGGATGTGGAGGTCGGAGCTGGCGTCCTGCACGGGTGGGGGGACGTGAGAGAGGGCGGCCGCCGTGGAAGTCAGTCGGCAGCTCCTCAGAGCGTGAAAGATGGGTCAGAGCGTCAGAGCCTGTCTGACCCGCTGGTCTATCTTCGGGGTGTGGGCCCCACAGAGCTGGGTGCAGGGACTCGAACAGGTACCTGCACACCCATGTTCCCGGCAACAGGATTCAGAACGGCCAGGACGCAGAAGCCACCCACGTGTCCATAGTGTGTCCATCCGTACAGAGGGAGGTGACAGCCAGCTACAGCCTGGCCGGGCCTGGGAGACGGAGAGCCCAGTGACCTGCTGGAAGCCTCCTACCCCCACCCTCTGCTCCCCCCCCCCCGTTTCTTTTGTCCCAGCTGGTGGGACCCCTGCCTTGATGCGCATTGTGACCAGGTTCCCCCCCACCCCCCACCCCCCCCACCTCCCCCGCCGCCAATGCCCCCGCTGGAAGCAAATCAGAGAATCGGCCTGGTGGGCTCCAAATGCTTCCAGATGCACAGGCCGCTTCCCCTGCCCTGCCCCCATCCCTGCTCAGGGAGGTGGGCTGCGGGGGTCAGAGAGGGAACTCCAGGGGCGAGCATCATTCGGAAGGTGGACTGCTGAGTGGAAGCTCCCCAAGGCCAGACTGGAGCCGCACTGGGCTCTCCCCCGCCACCCGGGCTCCCCCCCGCCCCGCCCCCCCAGTTCATTTGAGGTAGAAGCAAGAGGCTGAGGAAAATGCATCTCTAGCTCACAGGGTGCCTGCTGGGTTTAATTTTTGTCCTTTTTACCGACTCTCCTGGCACATCAGAGGCCCACAGGGCTTCGGGCATCATGCTCCGGTCTCCATGGAGACGGAGCCTGTCTCCGGCCCTGGCTCCTCCAGCCCATCCTGGGGCCGAGCCGGGCGGAGCCCAGTGGTGGGATGCTGTAGGGGGGCCTCCTGACCCCCCCACCTCTGCTTGTCAGCCAGCCCCGGTGTCCTGCTCCCGTCCGCGGTCCGGCAGGTGGCTGGCTGCTGCTAATAGTCAGGATAATAGCCGTTTATTGAGTGTTAAGAATGTCCCAGGCACTACACTAAGCCTCACCAATGAGCACTGAATCCATGCCAGGGACTGCTCACATTCTGGTGTCACGTGACGAGCAGGGAAACTGAGGCTTAGGCGCCTACAGCTCGAGGAAGGCGGTGTGCGATCGTGGGAAGTGTGTGGGGTCCAGAGTCCATCCCAGCACTGTTCCTCTGTGACTTGACCTCTCGGAGCCTCAGTGTACCCCTCTGTAGAGTCGGTATAGACACGGCACTCCCCTCTTGCGGTTGCTTTGAGGATTGTGCTGGGGGGAACCAGGGTGAGCTCACCTGGGGAGGAAGTTTGGGGGGGGCAAAAATCCCAGCCATC